TAGTAGTAGTAGTAGTAGTAGTAGCAGTAGTAGTAGTAGTAGTAGTAGTAGTAGTAGTAGTAGTAGCAGTAGTAGTAGTAGTAGTATCTGTGTCAGCAATATGTAGTGTGTTACTCAGTTCTCGCAAAAGTGAAGTAAAAAGCCTGTCGTTTTCGGGGTGCACTTTATGAAACAACCCGTATTTTCTGGTCACGTGCACAGGGCAAAGGTTCCATGGAGACCTACTGGCTGCTGGGAGAGAAGGACTGGAGCCCGGACAAACTGGTGAGCAAACATCCCAGTCAGACGCAGACACCGGCACGACAGGGTGACAGCGCCACCTGCTCCAAGAACATCACCGATTCCTTGCGTGGCTGATCCATTCTTCAACTGGCGTGGGTGAGGGGGTGTTATTAGTCGGGTGAGTGAGTGAGGGAGGGAGTGAGTGAGAGAGGGAGGGAGTGAGTGAGAGAGGGAGGGAATGAGGGAGGGAGTGAGTGAGGGAGCGCCGCCTGCTCCAAAAACGTCTCCGATTCCTTGTGTGGCTGATCCATTCATCGACTGAATGCGGGGCAGGGGGGGGGTGTTATTAGTCGAGTGAGTGAGGGAGGGAGAGAAGGAGGGAGGGAGGGAGGGAGAGGCGGAGTGAGGGAGGGAGGGAGTAAATGAGTGAGTTGGGGAGTGAATGAGTGAGTTGGGGAGTGAATGAGTGAGTTAAGGAGTGAATGAGTGAGTTGGGGAGTGAATGAGTGAGTTAAGGAGTGAATGAGTGAGTGAGTGAATGATGGAGTGAGTTAGTGAATGAATGAGTGAGTGAGGGAGTGAGTGAGTGAGTGAGGGAGTGAGTGAGTGAATGAGTGAGCGGTCGCCCGATGGCTCAGTCGATTCCTCAAAAGATTGATCGGTTGATTGAGTGATTAATTGGTTGGTTGGTTGTTTGATTGATTGGTTGATTAATTAGTGGATTGATCAAATAATTGGCTCATTGATTGATTGGTTGGTTGATTGACTATTCATTTGATCAAATGGTCGATTAATCACTTAATTGATCGGTTAACTTATACACGAACCAAATAATTACTCAAGCAAAGAAGTACAGCATGAACCTACGTGTAATATTGGGAGATAGTTCTGTTTGGTGTCTCTATCTTTCTGTTGCTTTGTACTAGTCATACTTTGTATAACGGTCGATGAAGTAAGGCTATGGGTCGATGAAGTAAGCCCTTGGACTTGTAATATTTTGTACTAAGTAAGCCCTTGTACTTGTAATACTCTGTACTAAGTAATCCCTTGTACTTGTAATACTTTGTACCAACGGTCGATGAAGTAAGCCCTTGGACTTGTAATACCTTGTACTAAGTAAACCCTTGGACTTGTACTACTTTGTACTAAAAGTAGAGTTGACAGTCGATGAAGTAAGCCCTTGGACCCGAGTCGACAAAGGCACAAAACAAAAAAAAATAATAAATCAACCATGGCATGCTTGTCAGATTGTTCTGTATCGGTGGAATTATGTATTTATGTATGTTTATGTGCATGAATTTATGTTTGTATGTATTTATAATTATGTATTTATATATATATATGTTTTTGTGTGTATGTTTGCCATTGTAGCTCAAATTGCACTTCTGGGATCAATAAAAAAAACAACAACTGTAATTTGACTTAATTCATTTTATTTCATTCAATTTCATTTCTTTTCAATTCATTTCAATTTCATTTCTTTTCAGTTCATTCAGTTTTCATTCCAATTTCATTTCATTTCATTTTAATTTAATTTCATTTTGCCTTCCAATAACTACAGGTACAATTAAACTTGACGGTTGTCCGTCCTGTTTGTGACTGTAAGAAAATAATTATACAGGATGCACTCTTGGTAAAACTACGTACTGTCACTGTCATGGCTGGTAAATTGTAATTTCACTCCTGCATGGACATGCACTTGCAAAACATGAAAAATCAAAAAAATTCCTCTGTGCGTGATATAATGCATGTAGCCTGGTGTAGTCTAGTCCATCATGCACATAGCAGAATCGGTGGTATACAGAAGAAAGATTTTTCTTATAAGTTAAGATACATCTTTATTGTCCAGATCCTGGCACATTGTTTTGATGTTTCACACACACACACACACACACACACACACACACACACGCACACACACACACACACACACACACACACACACACACTCACACACACACAGGCACACACCCACACATGTCAAAGTACATTTTTGTGGGAAATGGTCTTCAAGGATGCCTATAGTAATAACAAAGTCTACCGTAGAGAATTGTGCTTGAATCACCGAAATTTATATGCGTAGCTTCTTGATGAAATCAGGCTCTTGCCAGGATAATATAATCGAAAACCAATATCTTTCCCGCCCCTTCGGCAATCATTAACTTTTTCTCTGAACAACGTTTATGTACATTTAAAAACACATTGCATTCTGAGTGAATTTTTCTGAAAATGGTCGATCAAAGACACACACACACACACACACACACACACACACA